CGGTTCCTGGGGGAGTGGGCTCTTTCTGTACATCGTAGAATAACGTGCAATGGTTCTATTCTTTTCCCTAATGATGCCCCAGTGGCTGCGCATGTGACACGAGGCAGGCTGTTCTGCAGTCCTCCCGTATGGCCACTGTGCTCACACCAAAGCTAATGAAGGCAAGAACCCCGCTCGCTGCCTCCTCCATCCTGAACTGCTGGGCCAGCTGCGGTCTGTGTCACTGGAGAGGCTTCTGTTACAGATGAAGGCCTGACCGGGTTTATTAATGGCATTCATTAGTGCTGGCTACTCACAAGCCTAGTCTATCCAAGAAGGCAGCTTCTCCCAGCCCTTCCTGTATAGATTTGACTCTGCAAGATAGCTGCCCAGCTTCAAACCCCAGTCCTACCACTTAGAGTAGCATTTGACTTGGGGCTTTCTAACCAAGATGCTTGCTCAATCATTCATGTTTTCGTCCCATAAATACATCTGGAACAATTACTGTGTACCACCTATGTAAGGCCTAGGAATGCAGGTAGGGGGCTTTCAGACGACCGATCGCCCATCACACAGCATATCCAACTGGGAGAAGGCAGGCAGAAATTGAAACCCCAGCCTCTTGGTCTTCTATTGGCACAGCTATAAAGTAAATGAGGGAGATGTTATTCTTTATATCATCGCCATCTCCTCGGGCTAAAAAAAAAGCACAGCAGTAAAATCTCAACACATCATGTAGACATTTGGGATATGAGTCCCTGCTACATGCCAGTAGCTATGAGCTATACTTTACTGATATCTTATTCCATGCAATGAGGCCGGGAGCTGGGCTTCATTTTGCTGTCTCACAGATGGAGAAACTACAGTTTAAAACAAAAGGCAGCAAGAAGGTTATGAGAGCCTGTCAGTAGCCTCATAATGAGAGCATTCTTCAAGCAGGTATCGGGCTGCATTCCATGCCGAGGGCTTACAGTGCTGGTTTATGCTCTTATGATCAAGGGGGACATGACACTGGGCTGGAAGTCCTTGGGAAGGAAACCCCCTCCATGTTGAGATGCCAGAGAGATGTGGTCAAGGCCACAGTGGTAGGGACATTGAAACAGGAGACTGAGCGGGGCAGCAAGGCCAGAGCATGGAGACCATGGATTGATCCTGCAGGCCGCTTAAACCACAAACTTAGCCTTAGCCAACAGAACAAACAGGACCCTCAGAAGTGGCCAGACAGGAAAGTGACTTAACTCAGGGCCTGATTCAGAATGATCAAGGTAGCTGCTGGGCTGTAAGGTCATAGAGAGTAAGACTGGGGGACCAGCTAGGAGCCTGTTGAGACAACCCCAGTGGGGAGCAACAGTGGCTGGTGGCATAGACCGGAAAAGATAGTGAGAGAAACAAACATATTGCAGCCATTGGGTTAGGAAGGTGAGGAACACAGAGAAATCCAGAGTGACTTCCAAATGTCTGCTCTGAGGGCAAGTATCTGAAGGCTTTGCTTTCTGCCTTTGGACATGACGACGATGCTGGCCTGTGGGCCAGGGGTGCTGTCAGTGAGTCTCAGGGATTCTGCCAACCCCGTGGCCCTGCTGGAGCTGAGTCATGTAGGAAAGATTTGCAATGACCTGAGGAAAGATGAAGGTACACGGAGAAACAGGACTGCATCGGAGGACTCTGAGCAGAGGACCTCTTAGGGGAGGAGAGCAACAGGAAGCAAGCAAAAGCCCAGGGAGAAGCGGTGAAGGAGTAGGAAGGAAGCAGAACCAAATATGGCCGACCACAGTGATGCTCACACACTCTGGGAGATAATGTAGCAACACAGATCACCGTCCTGCTTGGCGTGGTTTAGACAAGGAGATGTTATGATCCCGGGAGAACAACACAGTTCCTCTGTAGACTGAGTACTTGGTTCCCTGTCCTCGACAGGAGAGCTGGGGTGGGGGCAGAACTCCTCTGTCCTCTGGGATGAGAGTTGTTCCACTTCCTGGCAAAGTACAGGAACAACAGGTGGGTGTGGTTTGCAGTTTCATTCTGGAAAAATTACTTTCCTCTGGGAAGTATCCTCTGGCTTCCCAGTTCCTAAGTTGTGATTTCCAGTTAGTCCCACCATCTGGGGTAGGAACAGACACCTTAAGAGACATCCAGCAAGTGCTGTGGCAAAAGTTTCAAACCTGAACAAATAACTCTCTGCAGGCCCCATTCTTTATCATCCCCTCCAGAGCATATTATGCTCCAGGCAGACTGTGCTTGACTTTCTCCTCACAAAGACCACTCAGTTGAATATGCCACGAGTGAGCTGGGCTCAGTAATTGAGTGGCCTCTATCTGTTTCTGTTCTCCAATCTCACCCCAGCCACACCATGGCTCCCTGCTTCCCGACTTCCTGTTGAGTGACACATTTGCTCTTTCGAGATTGAACTGCCCGATTCCACCAGCCACATCCCTGGCTTCTGCACTCCAGGAAGCCTGGGGGGAATCCAGCACCAGCAGGCTTGTGAATATACAGCTTACCTGCGTGTCTCAGGATTTACTTAAACGTGACTGACTAATTTATCTTGCGGTGTGATTTCCTCGCAAGTTGACTTGGCAATTTTCTCTGCTCAGAGAATGTTCTAAAGAGGTGGTGTGAGATGGAGGGCAGGGGAAATCTAAAGAGATGGTGTGAGATGGAGGGGAGAGGAAATATGTGCTCTTAATTTCCCATTTCCAAATGTGAGACCTGACTAGAGAGTCTACATCCTATCTTTGGATGATCACACACTACTGTTTAGAGCTGAGCAGGGTCAGAAAGGCACAGGCTCGGTCCTGAGAGGCTTGGAGTTGGGTTAATGTGAGCATGCTCCTGGAGTGTGACTTGGTACCTATGCAAAAGCAAGAATCTCTGCCTTGAGCAACAGCTGCTTCTCTTCCTGTTGTGTGAGCACAGGGTAGCAGAGGTGTGGAGAGGTGGCTTGTGGGAGCTTGTTATCTTGCTTCTCGACCATCTTACAAGGCTGAAGGGAAGGAGAAAAGACACACATGTGGACAGCCAGTTACCTTGGTGAGCCCTTTGCATAGTTAAGAGATCAATCAGAGAATGAGATTCACCTCCACCCAGTTCTAACCAGTGAGGCAGCCTGCCCTGGTGGAAAGATCTGGAACCCGTGTTCCTCATGCAAGAGTGATGAGCAACTTGGGACAATACATATACCAGAGGAATTAGCTTGTACATTTATTTAATATTAATTCACTTATGTAGAATTACTCAAGTATCTACTTATACATCTTTGTAGGTAGCCAAAGCCAATTTTGATTATTTGCATTTGACTTCATTTTTGTTTCTTTTTAAAGATGGACAGTGTTTGCTTGTACTAAGCCAACCTCTAAATAATCTATTTAGAATAATAGTTATGGAATAATTAGGAAAAGAGCTAAAACCCTATCTGGCACATTCTTCAAATGACTGTAGATCCCATAACTTGTTAAGAGCTTGAAACACACTGTCGGGTTTGCCATGAACTTGTTTTCCCTGGGTTCACAGTTAAGGAAACAGGACCCAGGAAAGTTAAGGGTAGGTCTGCAATGGGCAATAAAGCTGAGATTCACTCTAGGCAGTGTGGCCCCACAGTGTGACCTGCTATCAACAAGAAACTCTGATCTGCTTTCTACCTGTCTTACAACTATAGTCAGGTCTGTGTGTTCAAGGTCGTTAGCAACTTGGCATCCACAGCTGGGCACATTCCCTGGTTGCCATGCAGAGACTGAAGCTTGCATCTCAGATGAAATACAGCTGAATGTGACAACTGGCAGGTTGCATGGCTGAAGAGTAGACACGAGCTGTAAAACGAGGAAAGGCATCTGCAGAGCATTGCTAGCCCTGTGGGGTGGGGCTGGGTGCCATGATTCAGTCAAGGGCTGTGCTTCCTGGAGACCGAAGTAGAGTTGGGATGGCATCATTGCCCTCTGAGGCTTCCAGGGGAAGGCATGGAGCATCGGTGTCCTCTGAGCTTGCGGTTGGGCCGCTCTCAGCACTGTGAGAGGATCGGATTTAGCTCTGCATTAAAATGTCGATGTGCTCAACTTCTTAGGCTGCTTGCTTCCCTCCAGCTTTAGGATTCGAAAAGGCTAACAGTTGTGAAGGTCTGCTCCTGGTTCCCTCTCGGCTGCACGGTTTTTAGATTTTTCTCTAATTGCCAAAGGACACAAAACATTGCTTCATCTTCAGTGTCCTCCCAGCCTCCCGCGGACCGCACTCCTTGCCAAGATGGTCTCATTCAGAATGAAGGCGGGCCCTGAAAGAATGGCAGAGAGCAGTAGACAGCCCACTCCAGCCTCCCCATCTTTCCCTCCTTTTGGATTTCCCATCTCAAGTCACAAGCTCTACACACTATCAGATAGTTTGCCTCCACTTCCTTACCTGCTTTCCCTCCATCAGCCAGGGTCATGCCCTTATCCACATCTGTCCGCCCCCGACCCCCCCCCCCCCCCCCCGTCACACACTGAAACAGTGTAGCAAGGCCGAAGTGGAAACGGCTCTGCCATGGTGAAGACATTTGCCTGCCAATAGTGGAGAGCTGGAATCAGTATGTAGGAAGGCTAACAAATGGGGCCAAATTCACAAGCCCTCATACAACATGGGGAATCTGCTGTTCTAGGCTCTGTGGTGCCCCAGGCATTCATTCTCTCCCTGGGAGCATGAGCTGGTTAATCTCTTAGCGTGAGTACAGGGGAGATGTCATGGTCTCTGGGAAAACTGCAATAACAAGTTTTATGTGCTTAGTAGAGGGATGCCAGTCAGACTTTGAGGAAGCTGTACAAACATAAGGTGTCGCCAGCCTGATTTATCTGAGAGACAGCCCCAGTATGAACAGCCTGTCTATCCTAGAAACCCAGGCTTTCTCCTTGACCCATGTTTGACTTGTGACAGGACTACCCTTGGGGTGTTTTCAGAGTGTCTGGGCAAGAAGGATTGTCTTGATGGCAGCTTGGCCGATGACCTTGTACATTGGGAGGAAAGCCCAGGTGCTCACTGTCTGCTCGGTTTTCCCACAGCCTGCACAGACAAGGAGCTGAGGAACCTCGCTTCCCGGCTGAAGGACTGGTTCGGGGCTCTTCATGAGGACGCCAACAGAGTCATCAAGCCTACCAGCTCTGATACAGCCCAAGGCAGTAAGACCACTCTATTCTTGCTATTTCACTACAAATGTCACTTCTCAAACCTCATGGGTTTAGCAGGAGCATAGTTTGGCTAAAGAATAAGATTTAAAATATATTCCAATTTTAGAGCGTTGAATTCTCAAAGAAGGGTGATGTCTTAAAATCAACAGAAATATGACTTTTGGGAGAAAATGTGATTTCAAAGAGATCATGTTTTATATAGACATTTTAGAAAACATATAGAAAAAAAGTCATGTGTGTATATAAATATATACACACATATATAATACTACCCATTTAACAAGTTAAGCATTCTACATAGCTTGAAGTAATTTTTCTTGTATATGGAAAATGTATGTATGCTGGGAAGTTGGCACACTTTACAAGATGATCTACCATTTGGAAAATTAAACATCTAGAAATATCATTACGCTTTAATGTTACCGAGTGGTCTCTAGCAGGAGCCGAATAGAATCCTAGTCACTGCTATAACAACTTACTTAAGACGCCTCTAACTGGGACATTTGGGTTGTTGCTACTGTTGGTAGAAGCAACAGTGTAGCAAGCGTCTCCAATAATGTGTTTTTCAGGTATACTGGGTTTCCCCAGAAACCACAGGGCAGGTGCCCCTCCCCCTCCTCTCCAGCTAACCCTCAAGCTCCTGAAGGAGCCCCCAGGGTCTGGGATGAGCACAGATCATACACACACACTCCACCTCTCCATGCTTTGAAATCTGAGGTAGTTGTACTAACTAGTACGATAGAGACAGCCGATCCACCAATCCTTCAAAGACAGGCAGCTCGGCTGTGTGTGCATTTGAGATAGTGGTATTCACACAGCCTCCTACCCTTCAGATGGTATGGATGGAACTGTGAAAGCAATGCTGTTGGCTTGAGGGTAGGAGATGAGAAGTTACAAAGTTAACTCAGCCTCTCAGCTAGACCAGTATAGATCACCAACCCAGTATGGTGGTACATATGTTACCCCAGATACTTGGGAAGCTGAAGTAGGAGGATCCTTTAAAAACAAGATCCAGACCAGCCTGAGCTATGTGGATAGATGCTGTCTCAAAAATAATGGTCTTACCTGTTGGTAATTCTTTGATACTCATAGTTTTCTGGAGAGATCGGTGAGGAGTACTGATGTTTAGTGTAACAGTGTCTGTCTTTAGCCTTAATGACAAGATGGCGCTTGTTTCTCAGACTAGGTTTTACAGGTGGTAGCTCCTGGGAGCTGGGTCTATAGGTTGGTGAGATGACATAGGATTTTTGTTTTTTCCATTCCTGCCAGAGGTTCCTTGGGAGTCTACGGGCACTAATTTCCATCTAGAAAAATTTGTCAATGAGCACCCTGCCCCCCACCTCCAACCCTGAGATCAGCCCAACCCTAGGCTTCTGGAACAACCTCTCCATGGAAAGTAGCTTTTGGGAAGAGAAGTCCTTGGAGCCTCCAATCAGTCCGCAGAGAGCCTCTCTGTAGACAGGTGGGAGGCTTGGAAACACTAGCTAGTGTACCTAGGAGGAAACTGCATTCCCCGAGTCAATGTCAGTTTGATGTCCCAAAGCCACTGGGGCAGGAGAGGTATAGAGCAAGGGTGTTTTATCCTCTGAGGCCAGAGAAAAGAGCAACACATTTTTGGTCTGGAAGGGGAAACCCCAGAGCCTTGCTCCAAACTCCATCCCTGTCTCCAACAGCTGCAGGTACACATGCTCTTTTCAGAAACTGGAGATGGGGTAGAGCAGGCTTGACCTTTTGGCTAACCCACACAGGTTGGCAGTTCTTCTGGTTGATGATCTTGACAGTCACTAAAGAAGGACCCATGTTATACCCCATGGTCTCATCTGGAAGAAAAAAAAATTAAAAGATGTTATCCTTTAATAACAAAATGAATAAATTTAAATATGCAAAGATTTACTTGAAAGGGTAAACTTGAAGCTAGTTAGAAAACTCCTCTAGCTCGGAAACAACTATTTTTACTGATACAGTATGCCTATAGTGCAGAGGTCATTGAAGAACACTTGGAGGTCTCCCGGAACATCAACAGTTAAGTGGAAGCCCAGCACCTCCTAAGAGCTCACAGGAAGTTGCTTCAATCTTTATGTAGAATTTTATACAGATTTGCCATGAAGATGTAGCTTCATTATACCTGGTTCACTAATGAAAGGTTTCCAAGATGCACACAGAAGTGTAGGAGACACTAGAGTGTGCAGTTTGTCTCATCAGGACCCTATGCAGACACTGTATCCCAGACACGGCACCCTGAGCCAGCTGAATGCTTTCAGGACAGATGTATCAAAGAAGGCAGAGGGGGACCTGGGAGAGACAGTGTGGAGACTGTAGATCTGGACCCTGCTGTCTGTGTTTCAATCCTGATTCTGGATCATATAATCTTGCTAATTATTTTTCATCTCTAAGGTAGAGGTGAAGACATTTCACACGACTGCCACTAGGGCTGAGTGAGATACTTAAGCGTATAGTGCTTAGAAACATTTTTATCAGTAGAATTCTAGGAGAATAAAGCTAGTCCCAGAGACTCAGATTACAGGAGACGCTAGGACTTTTGTCATCCCTTAGCTCTGAGAGAAAGATTGGCTTGAGATCTGTCTACAAGGCTGTGGCATCCAGAGGGCAGAGCTAAGTGTAAGCTTTCCTCCTTTGTGGAAACAAAGACTTTCCATTCCCTGGGGAAATAAGAAAGAATTGATTGTCTGAGTTGATTTGGATTCCGTCTCCTGGGGCTCCTTAGGGGATTGCAGGAAAGAAGGAAGGGACTGAGGAAGGACCTGGGTGCTCTCCCCTCCAGCTTCAGCCTGGGCCAAAGGGTCCTCTGGGATAGAACAGAGCCTTGAGTCTCATTCACCTGCTATTGTCTCTCTCCCAGCCCCACCCCCACTCCACTCCTTTCTCCAATATTTTGTTTGCATTTTCTTTTTTTTACCCCCTAAAATGATAAGTCCAGGTTTCAGTGTGATGCATCTTATGTTTCAGTGTGCTCCTGGTTTACCGTTCAGTTCTGCAGGCAGTGGGACTCCTAGTTACATCACAGACATACTATCCTAGGGAATGGCTTCTCTTCTGAAGATATTTCCCTCTAAGTTGCCTATTGCCTTTAGGATGTTTATATGTCTCATATATAAAGGGCACATGTTGGGGGGTTGGTCTGGTGCTGCTATGTATTCAAATGCTAAATTCTGTATTAAGAGAGAGAGAGAGAGAGAGAGAGAGAGAGAGAGAGAGAGAGAGAGA